AATTGGTTTCCAGTAGAGGAGCTGGTTTGAGCCCAGCAAACAAGATGGGAATAACTGGCTTGGTGTGATGTGGGAATGTTTGTTGGGAATGCGAGAACGCAGAGCAGCCACAGCCACAGGATGAGCGGACGTAACCGGCTTTGGAGCGCCTGGCCGCCAGCGCTTAAACCCGGCTAATCTGATTGGATTAACACCGACCTGCCTGACTACACATGAACGTGTGCGTGCGTGCACGTACATAGACATTAACGCACACACACACACGCATTTGCACTATATGCCAATCAGCCGGGGCTGCCACTGCAGCTTCCTGGAGTTCATCTGGATTCTGGGTTGTGCTGGCTGGCTGGCTGGCTGATGGCATCATGCTGGGCTACCACATGCATACGCATCCGCTCTCACGCAACGCACACACACACTAACTCACAGAGCCATCTTAGAGTGCAGTGATTTGTGCTGTGAATCTGAAACAGACCTATTGAAAGAAGAGTAATGCCCACTGCTTGACAACCGTGCTAATTGACTAGCCCCCTCCCCAGCAATGAAACTAAACGTTTTCACCCCTCCATCTTTTATCTTTTCAATCATTCCCTGACAGCTCTTCTCTTGTCCCACACTCATCACATCCTCTTCCTCATATTACTCTTCATCGCCTCCATCTCCCCTCTCTCTCTCCCCCCCTTTTGCCCTCGCCATCCTCCTCCCCCCTCCTTCATACCCATACATGTAATCATTCATTAGAACCAAGGCAGTTGTCCATTAGGCAAAGCAGCCATTTTGGAAATTGCAGCAAATCTTCCATGAAAAGACATTTCCTCTAATGCGGTAGTCACGCTCGGAGGGAGAGGAGGGGAGAGAAAGATGGCAAAGGAGGGAAAGAAAGACAAGGGGGCAGAGATGGAGAGGAGGAGGAAAAAAGAGGAGAGTGAGAAAAGTGAAGGAGGGAGAGACAGGGGGAGAGAGAGAGAGAGAGAGAGAGAGAGAGAGTCCTCCTCTCCCCCCACGGCCATAAAGCCACCAAGCGGAAAGCAAGCCTGCTGTTTGATTAGAGAGTGACACCATCATGGACGGAAGGAGGGAGGGAGGGAGGAAAAGGATGGAAGGAGAGGGAGGGAAAGTGTTTTAGAGGCAAAAAAGCAGAGGGGATGACGAGGAGGCGGGAGAGAAAGTGATGGGAGAGAAACACACAGGCAGTGATTTGAGAGAGGACCGAGATAGAGGCAGTAAAATTAGCCCCATCACTTTGGTTACTAAGATGCTCTATGACACACTAGGATTAAAAGCAGACGCGCGCACACAGCGATGAGTTGTGCGCACTTACACACTTGCACAGGACAGATGGTATCCCCCATCTGAAAGTGTGGTTTTAATTTGAGTAAAGTGATAGGAACCTCCTTAACCAATTAGAAGGCCCATATCTTAGGCCTTGCATTAAGGTCTGTTTGTTTCACGCTCTCATTAGTGTGTGTACTAATATGTGTGTGTGCGAGTACTGGTGTGTCCCGTGGGATCAGTGAAGAACATTAAAACTGATATAAGAGGTGGGAAATGACAAATCCGCTCTGGCGCACTGTTGAGCGCGCGAGTTGTCTTCTCCCACAATGCCACTGTTCATCTGGATCCCATCTAATCACCGATCAAAGACAGACCTGTCTCTCCCGTTACCAAATATTCACCTCACTGCCGCTCGCCTCCTTCTTAACGCTCCTTCCTCTAAAGCCGACACATTTGTCACCAGACCAAGCTGAATCTAATCCATTGTAGCATTTTTTTTCCCTCCTCTCACAATTTAGGATGCACTGAATTTAAAAAAGAAAAAAAGGAAACACCATATTCAATCCAATTTCTTCAAGGTCTCAAAAAAAAAAATGTTATGCTTCCTTGAAGTCGAAACATTGTGAAGAAACTGTGCAATAGACCCATGTGCAGAATCAATAACTAATCCAGCCATAACAGTTGGGCTTGAAAAATGTTACCGTGTCAATACAAAACAGTTCAAGGGAGGATTTTTTTTCTTTTTTTTTTTACATTCAGAAGTGCTTCTGAAATCTCACAAATGCCAGCAAGTGGTGAGACTAAACAGCTGCTACGCTGAATTTTACAATAAAAGCATCATTAGATCTGAAGCAATATGTCGGTTAATCAATAAAGTGATAGCAACATATTAACAGGCAAAGTCTTTGATAATAGACTCACTATGTAAATGAGTTATTTGGACAAACAAAGAATATCAGTTAGTTTCTTTGCATTCAGTGATAGCCAAGCTGAATGTTTTTTGTTTGTGGACTGTTGGTTGGACTAAAGAAATAATACGAACATGTCAACCTGGTGTCTAGAAACTTGTTTTCTGGTATTTTTTTTCCCCTTACAAGTTTAATTATTAAAACAACACAGGCTCTTTTCTTTGTTTTTGTCATCAAGTTGGGCCGTAAAACTCCCCATCTGTCACTGGTAACTTGTCCACTGCTGATCAATTCTTAAACATATTCATCTCTTCTTGACTTTTTCAATTCCTCCCTGTGGATGTGTGTGTTTTTTGACAGTCAGGAGGCGTATTTATGCGCCTCAATCCAACTGATGGAAATGGTCCTAATTCACATTTTATTTTTGCAAGCGTTTGAAACGTTTGTGTAAAATCCACTTGACAGCTGGATGAGAACACAGCTGCAGAGAGAGATGCTGGATCTCAACACAAGGGCTGCTGCTGCTGCTGCTGCTGCTGCTGCATGGTCAAACATTTCTGGATAAGCGCTCTCCTCTTTCTCACGGATTCTGCCCTGAACCACTTCCTCCAGAAAGTGAGCAGATACGTAGCGTGTCACACACTGTTTATTTCCACCACGCTGACAATATGCACAGCTGATCTCGAACCTATGCAGGAACAACGCTGCGCCAAGAAAATCTCACACGAGCGGCCTGTGAACGCAGATGATCTTTTCTTTTTTTTTTTCCACACTTCACAGTGGCCTCTTCACCACACTGCCGCTGCCCTCGAGACAAATGTTCCTAGCATTAGCACAATGACACAAGAGGACCAAACAATGAGGACAGAGGACAAAAGCACACACACAGAAAAAGAGGCGAAAAAAAAAGAAACGGAACAAACCGTGACAGAGAGAGAGGCAGAGAGTTACTTTTCAGAGCTCCTCATTGCAGCGATTTACTTCTTTTCCTTGCTAAAGTGTTGCTGTGTGTAATATGCAGCAGCATTGTTTTTCTTCAGGGCGCTATTAAGCCTAAAGTTCTTCGTTTCTCCTGTCAGGAGTGGTCGGATACTCGATTACACCTGAGGCAAGAGATCGTCTCGTTGCAGTCATGCATATGCACCTAAACCTCTCTCATCTCTGCCTTCCTGTCTCTTTCTGCTCCCCGTGGCCTCTTCAGGTGCACACAATCGCACACACACACACACACACACACACACAAGTTTAGGCTTTGAAACAGTGCTCACAAAGTGATGAAAGGCCGTTTATCCTGCGTCCACTGTGATATCTCAGCTCGCCATGCAGAATGGCCGAGCACGTTATCACCTCTGACCGGGGGAAACCACAGGAGTCAGGACTGACGCCAGCAGCAAATACCAGCGCTAGTGTGTGTGTATGTGTGTGTGTCCCAGCGGTAATAATCACCCGGATTAGAGCGGAGCCAAACCCCCGCAGGGTCCCCCCTCTTCTCCCCCCTTACGCCGGCCCAGCCCAGCCCTGCCCAGCCTGCAGCACTGATCCCCCAGTTTGAGGCAGCCATGGGAAGCAGAGCAGCCGGCCTGACATCTCCGCCGCGCCTGGCCGCCAGACACACAAATTTCCACCTATTTCCCCCCAAAAAAACAAAAAACCCCTCTTTGTCCTATTGATCATTTGCAGCCAAAATAAAATATCGAGCAACCTTAGGCTACACAAAGACACAGAAACCCATTCGACAAGCGCACCCCCTTTAACCACAAGGGTGCAGTGAAATGGAAGTTGATACAGCCGTCAATATGTCTGTGTGAGGGATGCAATATGTGGGCAACAACAATGGGGAGGCGCGCACAAGAAATGGGCTATAACTTAATAAGAACGTGCATCGTGTCTGAAATACCTCGCAGTCGAAAGCAAGGGGATTATTACTGAGTGGAAATGTTGTCTGGGTGTATTACACTCTGCCGGAGTAAATTCAGCCAATTCCCAGTATGTGATTCAGTGGGAGGCCACCCTGATATTGGCACCTATCAACAATTGTCAGAGGCACCGCTGAGCTCCTGTGGCATTAGTGACAGCGCCGTGTTGAAATGTCAATCAACGTTTGTCTCTCAGTGTCTATTATCAACCCACTATTTCAGGATGATGCCCACGATCCTTGTCATTCTTTTCCTTTTTTTTTATCCGAAACCGCACTGAATCCCATCCAAGCGAAGAAAGAAACCTTTGATTAAACAGCGACTAGTCACATCCATTAGGAACCTGTGGGGATTTTAACGTGCTTGTGGTATTTCGGTTATGAGGCTGTAACACCATTATAATAACCACTGTTGTGTTTCATGTGCAACAATTACATTTTTGTGGCACAAACTGGACCAAAAACTCGCTCCATGTGGAGTTTGGATATTTTTATGTGAGGAAATGCTGCAAATTCACCATTACATTAGGCCTATTACGGTGGCCTCAGGAGGAACAAGCTGCTTCGGATGGACCAAGACATGCAGAAGTAGATGGACTGTGCTGTTAATTTATACGTTTTTACATCAGACTTCAATGTAGTGTGGGTAATTTGGGGTATTTGTCTTAATCTGAAGGAACCACTCAGAGCTCAGTGAGGCTCCAGTGACCTTACAGAGCCTTGATGTGAATAGCTGCTTAAAATTTCATTTAGTTTAAAAGTTTCAGGGACATAAAGCTGGAAAATATGCCAAAGAGTTCGTGCAGAGTCCAGATTCTAGGCTACAGGTTCCAACCTCCAGCACACACACTTGGACTTCAGTGCAATCTGCAGTAAATAAAGCAAACATCTCCCAGGTTTACCTCAGGTTCTTCTGCTTGTTCTCCTTCTTGTTGAGGACCCCCGGCACACAGTTGGTGAGCTCGGTCCAGTCGGCGTGCAAGCCGCAGCTCCAGCCGGTGGAGAACCGGGAGAAGAGCCAGGTCTCCTTGCGGTTCGGCCGGTAGCAGGTACACTTCTTCTGGCCCGGTCTGCAGTCGCAGGGGACCTCCAGGCGGACATTCTGGACCAGGTGCCTGCCGAAGGTAGTCCCCCCGGTCTTCTGGATGTGCAAAAACACGATCACGTCCTCGCCTTTAATTTGGAAATCGATCGTCCTCTCCAGGTCCCTGACGGGGAAGTAGTATTTCTTCACGTAGTGGGGGTCCGGAGTGGGGAAGATGTCCCCCTCGTCTTCTTCCGTGAAATAACCGTGCGGGGAGCCGAAATTGATCACCCCGGGGGCCACGTACTGATAGAGAATCAGCATAAAACACACGGATCCGACGACGATCAACAAGAATTTGCTGCTCCTCTCGACCATGATCCTTCCCAGTGCGGTTCCCACAGCACGCTACCATTTCCCAGTGAAGCCGACAGCAGGGAGCGGGGCGCTCGGCTTCTTCATGCTCGCTTCTCTCCCCACTGCCTGCAACGGACTCGTCTTCGGGGCTCAAGAGTGGCTCGCTCCGCTTCCAGGCGACCGGCGAAGTTGGCTCATGGCTCTTCGAGGACCCGTTCAGCACCGTGAAAGACGCATTGTAACTCGCCGAGAGCTCCCCCCTGGTAGCCGACCCTCCCCCGTTTACTTTACTTTGGTTTCCAGTCAACACAACAGGCTCACTGCATCACAGTGGAGCTATGTACCCAGGATGCAGCGCGCAGCCTACCTTTTCAAGCTCGCTCTCCCTCCCTCTCTCTCTCCGGCAGCCAGTGAAAGGGAGAGTCGCTTTAATTTATTGGTTCACACGTAACGCCCACGTCAAGCGCCGGCAGCCAATAGCCAGCAGCCAATAGACAGACAGATAGACAGACAGATAGATAGATAGATAGATAGATAGATAGATAGATAGATAGATAGATAGATAGATAGAACAGCAGCGTTCTTCACACAAATTCACAGCAACATTGAACAAAGTTTTAATCGAATGTTTTTCAGAAAAAAAACAAACAAGAAAAAATGTATTCCCACTCATGTTTCTATCAAGTTAAAGTCATGTTTTAATAATGTCAACAGTCAGAACTCAGAAGCACTGATGATGTTCCATGACAACAAAGAACGTTCTGCGGATGTTCTTGGGAAACACGTGATGGAACATTTTTTCTGTAAAACGCTCTCACAATGTTCCATGACAGCAAATGGGGGAAAGTTCGCAAACCAACATCTTAAAATTGTTTTTCAGATGTTATTGAGGCCTCAGATGATTTAAAAAAAAAAGAAAAGAAAAAAAAGAAAATCCTGTGATGTTACATGTTGACAAAGGTGGAACATTCTGCCTGGATCACAGATAATGTTCCATGATAACAAAGAAGGAATGTTTGCAAACCAAGAGCCAAAAAATGTTTTCCACATGTTATTGAGGCTTCAGATGATTTTTTACAAAACGTTTCTGTAATGTTATACTAACAAAAGTGGTGCGTTCAGCCTGCAATGTTCTGGGGATGTTCTTGGGGGAACACATTA